AGTCGGTTCCGACTTGTATAGGGGTTTCTGAGGAGTGACTGGTGAGCTTAAACTGCCGACCTCGCATTATTGTTGTTGTGAAGTTCCGTCTAGTCAATTCTGACCCATAACAACCCTATATAGTGTTTCCGAGAAGCAGCTGGTGAGCTCACATTAGGAATGAGTTAATTAAATGTTTGACCAAATACAGCAGGCTAATTTTTAAGTTGATAATTTTGTATGGCCTGCGAATGATGTTATAAATTTTGGCAGAAAAAAAGTTCCTCATCCCTGCTATACAGAGTCACTGTGAGTCAGAACCAACTCAATAGCACTTAACAACATTATCTCTTTAGGCTGGTCAGAGAATTAAATAAAATGTAATTGTTAATACAATTTCTTGCTTACTCATTATTTTCTTCCCTTTAAGATTCTTGCACCTAAAGAAATAATGTTACAAATGGTAGTCAAAATCTGAAACTGGCCCACATCAGTATTCCTAAACCATAATTCCAGTACTAAACCTATGCACTAATTTACATTATGTTTTTACAAGAATAAGCAGAGTTCTGGTCTCAGCTCTGTTAGTCTGGCTATTCCTCTATAGTTCCATTGAAAAACCAAGATGCAAATTAAATGAGTAGGCTCATTTCTGAGTAGAACTGCTAGGTTTCAGGTGGACTGTGAGAGCTCCAAAGATGGAGCTTTACGCTACCAAGGAGATAGTGTGCTAATGCAGGTTGTCAAGGACTGTGTGCAGTAAACTCTGGTTATTAGAGAACAAATGTAACCCACTGTTATTAGTGGACTATTGTTTACTATCTCACACTTCTTTACATATTCATAAGAAATTTTAATTTGATAAATACATATCAAAATTAGGGAATAAGTTAAAAGCTAAACTTTGTTCAGTACAATACTATTAAGTTCATTAATAGCTAGTCATCTGTTTTCCACTTAGTAAGTGTCATGCATTGCTATCCACACTTTAGAAATATTAGCTCACTTCATCTTTACATACTATATGAGATAGCTTCTCATAAAAAAGGTGAGAAAACTGAGACAACAGAAAGAATAAATCACTCAACCATGGTTATAAATCTAGTGAGACAAGATTTGCACCCAAGAGGGCTTACTCAAAATTAACTTTGGAATGTAAAGTACTAAACCATGAAAATGGATCAGGTTTTGCCTTAAAAGATATAAAAAAATATATACATGATGATATATTCATAAGGATGTTTATATATGAATGCACTCAGATAATCTTAAACCAGTCTTGATTAAAAAAAACAAAACAATCAAAACCCTATAGATAATTAATTTTAAGTTCAAACATTCTAATTTCATTTCATGAACAGTTAAGAGAGTCACTTAGGTATCATTATATGATTGTATCTTCCATTATATGAATGTATAAAAGTTACCCTTTAAAAAAGAAAACTGGAGGCTGTTTATTGCACTTCTGATATCACCAGAACATCCTTGACACAGCAACTCTAGAGCAGCTTTATCTGGAGTTGTGGTTTTTCCTCCATACTAAAATGAGAAATTAAAAAAAAAAAAAGAAAAATCTTAGAAACATAATGGAACTCATCAGAATCTTTCAAATTTGAAGGCTAAACACTGACCAAAAAGGATACAACTATGAATGTCTTGTCATAGTTTAAGGTACAATTTCAAAAAAGTATAAAATACAGTTTTACTTTAACCAGGTTATATTTTAAAGTTTTCTATTCCTTTTTCCAGAGTCCTGGTGTGGCACTGCAGGCTAATGCTTGAACTGGAAGATCGGTTTGAACCACAAGGTCGGTGGTTCAAGCTCACCAGCCGCTCCTCAGAAACCCTATACAGGGTTCGCTATGTGTCAGAATCAACTCTATAGCACTTTAACAACAAATACCATTCCTTATTCTTCTCTTTCTAGACATACATATATAAAAACATATTTATAGACAAAGACCTCAAGACAATATATAAAATTAAATACACAAAACAACAGATAAAATGTAAAGACCCAAGGTAATGGGACAAATTTTTGAGATTTTTATTTGGAAGTTCCCTATATTAAGATTTTCAATATATTATTAAAAGTTAGTTGAATATTAAAAAGCCACAATTACGTCCACTTCATATTTAAAGTCTAAGCTTCATATAGACGTTTAAGACACAATTCATGTGACTACTCATAGTCATTCCATTCTAGGTCTTGTAAAAACTGATTATAATAGAGAAATAATATTCATCGGTCAATATTCACTTTAAAAGAAACTTCCAGAAGAACAAACAACTTTGAATTGGCAGAAGGGCAACCTGAATGCTCCTTGGAAGTCAGGATGGTGAGACTTCTCACATACTTTTGGAGATTTTATCAGGAGGGACCAGTCCTGGAGAAGGACATCATGCTTGGTAGAGGGTCAGTGAGAACGAGAAGACCCTCAATAAGATGGACTGACACAATGGCTGTAACAATGGGTTCAAGCATGAAATTGTGAGGATGGCGTAGGACCAGGCAGTGCTTTGTTCTGTTGAACACAGGGTCGCTGTGAGTTGGAATTGACTCGATAACACCTACTAACAATGAAAGATGCTTCAAATTTTCTTTATTAGTCCTTTGAAGTCTACACAAACCCCAAATTTCACCAAAGAGATAACAACTATTAACATTTTAGTTCAGTACCCTTCCAGACCTCTTTCTGTCCATTAGGTATACAGCATATAAGAAAGCTGTTGTTAACTGCTGTGAAGTCTGTTCGACTCAGAGCAACCTTGTACAAGATTTTAAAGGCTTTAAATCTCTAAGCATATACAGACAAAAAGTTGTTGTTAGGTTCCGTCAAGTTGGTTCAGATTCACAGCAACCTTATACACAACAGAATAAAACACTGCCCAGTTCTGCACCACACTGGAAACTGTTGTTAAACTTGAGTCGATTGCTGTCACCACTGTGCCAAGCCACCCTGTTGGAAGTCTTCCTTTTTCGATGACCTTGCATTTTAACTAGCATGATGTCCTTGTACAGAGACTGGTCCCTCCCGATAATATGCCCAAAGCATGATTTTAAACCATTTCATAATAATACTTCACTTTGTCTTTTTGAGCTGCCATTTAATGTTATGTCAGCTCTTTCAGCTCCTTGTTTCTTCCATTTGCATTAGCTTCTCTGTGGTATAGAGCAAGTTTCAGAGTTTCTTCTCACATTCAATTTGGCCTTTTCTTTACTCCCTGTATGATGTTCTTGATGTCATCCCACAACTCTTGTGGTCGGTGGTCATTAGTGTCTTATACTGTTCCTGAGATGTTCTCTAAATTCAGGTGGGATACACTCAAGGTCTTATTTTGACTCTCTTGGACCTGTTTTCATTTTCTTCTGCTTCAGCCTGAACTTGAATATGAGCAATTGATGGACTGTTCCACAGTCAACCCTGGCCTTATTTTTGCCTGATGATACTGAGCTTTTCCACTATCTCTTCTGTAGGGAATTTGATCCCTGTGCATCTGTCAATGTTCTGCTACAATACAAGGTTCTCAGTGGCGAAATATTCACAAATAGTCCACCTCTCCTTCTTCCCAGTCTGTCTTAGCCTGGAAGTTTTGTTGAAACCTGTCCACCATGGTGACCCTGTTGGTTTTTAACACTCCTGTGGCATAGCTTCCAACATCACAGCAACATGCAAGCCAACACAGTATGACAAACTGATAGCAGAATGATATTCCTAGTAACTGTGGTGTTTATAGTAACGTTACCCTCAATTATTGAACTCAATTTGTTTCTAATTTTTCCCTATTAATAACTGTTAAATAAGATATTCTAAATACATTAACATGTTTAATCTTTTAAATGTTTTTACTGAAGATTTTCTTTACAGTGCAATAAAATTATGTTTCATTCAAGATCTACCTGATTTGTAGCAACAAGGCTAGAACCATGATGCTAGAAGTAGAAGCTCTATCAATTTATTTAAAAATAACATTATTTGTTATTGTTGTTTTAACATCATCTTTATTTGGAAGGTAAAAAAATGAGGCATTAAAAAGGAAAAAGGACACTAAGTTGAACTGTGAATGTCTAATGTACCTAGATTTGAGGAAAGTTTCTTTATGATAGGGATAATTTACGAAAGTTAAGTTACACGAAAGAAAAATTTACCTCAGTTTGAACAGAAAATTTAGTTAGTAGTATGAAAACTGAAACATTTTTCAATCAGTATTTTCTACATTTTCTAAAATACATGGGTCATAAATATAAAAAGATTTTAAATCAAAACCAAAAATTTCAATCTAAAACCCAAAGCAATATAATTTCTCAAATTTATAAAATACTTCATTTAAATTGGACTTTCTACTGTTATAATTCAAGGTTAAAATTACTTAATTCTTAAGAGACTTACCTCATTAGTTTCTAATGTCATTATTCGATTAAGAAATTTCATCATAATTGTTGGTGCCACAGGGTTGAAACTGTCAAAAGTTTTACAAAGAAAGATGGTATTTAACACAACTATAAATGTAGGTAGAGCACACAGCGGGCAAAATGATGAAAACTTCTGGCTATTATCAAACATCTTAAGTCAATGGGCCTGGGAGCTCAGGATCACAGTCTCAGGGGCACTAAGGTCAACTGGCATAACACAATCCACAAAGACAGTGTTCTACATCCTGCTTGGGTGAGTACCATCTGGGATCTTGAAAGCTCAGGAGTGGCCATCTAAGGTACAGCTATTGGTCTCTCCATTTGCAGAGGAAAGAAGAGTGATTAAGAACTGACAAGGCTTGGAATTAATTAGTCCAATGGACTAATGTAACATGTGAACATCAGTCTTCATGACTCTGAGACCAGAAGTACTAGACAGTGCCTGCCTACCAACTGCACTGAAAAGGATCATATCAGAGGGTCCCGGATAGAGAGAAAATGTGAAACAAAACTCAAAATTATTTAATTAAAAAAAAAAAGACCAGGTTTACCGGAGAGAAAGACACTGGAGGAACTTGAAACTCTGGCCCTCAACCATCATTCAGGTCTGGAAAGGAACTCACCCTCACAGCCCAACTTCCAGCCATGCAGTAGACAGGTTAAAAGGGGAGGAATACGGTCAATCATTCAAAATCAAAAGGGCAACATTCTCCTAAGGACTAAGTTGAGAAGGGATAGGAAGACGGTGGAACGCAAATAGGAATCACAGAGAAGAAGCGGAGTAACTGTGATTGCATGGAGGAGATTGTAATCATTGAGATGAAACAAAGAGTTTGATTTGTTTAATATAAAGCCAACTATCCTGTCAATTTACAAAAAAGAACTTTAAAAAAGATGGTATTTAATTGACTAATTTTAGAATATAACTTGTATGTGAAACATGAAGCAAAAATTGCTTTCTTACCTGATAGCTGATATTGAACACTCTTCTTGAATTTCTTTGGGAAATAGTAGCCTATGATTATTATCGCCACTGAGACTGTCAGATATTATAAATATAAGAGGACATCGACCAGTCTGGACATACTTCCTAAAATAACAAGATATGACAATGTTGGATACTTAGGCAACATGGTATTTTATTTAGAGTGTTAGAAAATTTCACTGAAACTCACCTTAGAACTTCATGCAAAGTCTGAGAATCTCGATAAAACTGGTTAGGTATATCCTATTGAAAACATAGAATAAATATTAGTTTTATTTTCATGTAAGTTTATATTCAGAATTATACATACCAAGAAAAGACAACATTCCTACCTATCCAATGTATTTTTAAGCAGAACCTTCCTGGAAATTATAGAAAACATGAAATAATATAAAAATGATAATCCAGTCAACTAGTATGCATATATGGAATCCTAATTTTCATATCAGCTTTTCTTAAATGCATTTTACCAATTACCTTATTTTCATTGATTAAGAAATTATTTTTCAAATATTTATTCTATTTTTTTATATTTAAACCAGTTTCTCATTTTGAGTCATGCAGTATCAGCAAATGAAGGTCCTGAAAGCTTTGTTCCATCCAAATCATTACTGTCTAACCACTTTGAATAGGTATCTCTTCCCATTATTTTGAGTGCCTTCCAACCTGAGAGGATCATCTTCTGGGACACTAACTATCACACAATGTTCTACTGCTATTCATAAGATTTTCAGTGGCAGTGCAGGTTAATGTGCTGTACTGCAAGTTCGGTTTGAAACACAAGGTAGGCAGTTCAAGTCACCAGCCACTCCTCGGGAACCCTATACAGGATTGCTATGAGTTGGAACCAATTCAACGGCACTTAACAGCAACAACAACCATCCCTCACAAGTTGATTTCAAGGTATTCCTTCCTAGCCCATCTTAGTCTGGAAGTTCCACTAAAACCTGTCCACCATGGTGACCCTGCTGGTATTTGAAATATTGCTGGCATAGCTTCCAGCATCACAGCAACATGTAAGCCACCACAGTAAACAAACTGACAAATGAGTGGTGTACATAAATCAAATGGCAGTCATTAAAACAGAACTAGCAACATTGCATGGATTAAAATCAGGTTTACCAAGGTTGTATCCTTTCAGCTCATTGTTGTTAATTGCTGTCAAGTTGGTTCTAACTCATAGTAACCCTGTATAAGGTTTCCAAGCAGCAACTGGTGGGCTTGAACCATACTTTTTAAATATGTTTGTTGCGCAAATAAGCCAAGAAGCTGGACGATATGAAGAACCCAGCCTCAGGATTGCGGGAAGGTTCATAAACAACTTTCCACATGTGCATAACACAACCTTGCTTGTTAAGAGTGAACACTTGAGACACCTGCTGATAAAGATCAAACACTGTAACCCATCACTATAACCCTTCACTTTAACACCCCAATATAAAGAGAAAAAAAATCCTAACAACTGTACCAATAAGCAACATCATCATGGTAAACAGAGAAAAGGCAGATATTGTCATGAATTTAATTTTACTTACATCCACAATTAACGCCCAGGCAGACAGCAGTCAAGAAAGCAAATGATATACTTCATTGGGCAAATGTGCTACAAAAGATGTGCTTAAAATGTTCAAGAGCAAAGATCACTTTGAGAGTTAAGATCTGCATGACCCAAGCTGTGTTATTTCCAATTGCTTCATGTGCAATGCAATCTTTGTTTAATAAATATGGTAGACGAGAAAAGAATTAATGCCTTTGAATTATGGTGGTGGCAAAACATTGAAAATACCAAGGACTGTCTGAATGAACAAATCTGTCTGGAAGAAGTACAGCCAGAATGCTCCTTAGAAGTGAAGATAACAAGCCTTAGTCTCACATACTTGGATAATGTTATCAGGGGAGACCAATCCGTTTGGTAGCAGGTCAATGAAAAAGAAGAATGAGGTGAATTGACACAGTAGCTGCAATAACGAGCTCAGATACAGCAACAATTGTGAAGATGGCACAGGCCTGGGCAGTGTTTTGTTGCATGAGTGTAAGCAATAAAGTATTTCTATAGGATTCCAGTTCCTGCATCCCTGGGTTTATTCCAAATAAAATGCATTTAAACATGTTTCTGCAATCAGTGGACAGCTGCAAGCAACATCGCTTAGTAATATACTTTATCTTAATTTCATTTCATTTCATTATGAGGCCTTAAAAAAAGGTTAACTGTACTTCCATGAAAAACAAACAAACAAACAA